GCCCTTAAGCCACTATGCACCTGAGTCAGGGCAAGACCCCTGCAGGTGCTGGGGAAAGGCAAGTGGACCCCAGCCTGCAGCCCTTACCTGAGCGAACCTAGAGCTTTCTGATACTTACCCAGTGCCTTCCAAATGGATGGGCAGCCCTACTGGTGGGAGGCCTGTACTAGGGCAGAGTGGGTAAATGGCAATGTGGTAGCAGTTGCTACCTTTAAGAAGCACCTCAGAATCAGCTACCCATCAATCCCACAACCCCTTAGCTCCTTCCCTCCTTGTTTCTCTCCATCTCAGCCAATAGTACTCCCTGCTTGGGCAGCAGAGACCCAAGGTACATGGGCTGGTCTGTGGGCACCTCCTTGACCAGCTTCCTGCTCCTGAAGATGCTGCCCCCTCTCCAGGATCATTTTCTAAGCTCCTGCCCCACCTTCTGCCCTTTGGGGAACATTTTGTCCCTTAGATGCCACAGAGAAGGGACAGAAGAGGAGAAGGCACCTGTTCACCATAGACCTTCTGCACCACAGAGCCTTTGTACGTGCAATATATAGGGAGGGACATCTCTGACCACCTCATTTTAAATTTCCAGCTCTGTTACCCTTTCCCACAATATTTTTTCATCTCCTTCAAGCATATGTCCCTAAGCATCTGATGTATCCACTTGTTGGTTTGGGACTGTCTCCCTCTGGGAACACACTCTGTGGATAAAGAGAACTGTGCACTGCTGGTCTCAACCCCTTTAAGGATCCTTATGAAGCAGCCAGTTCCTAGGTGATCCTCAGATGAGCTGAAAATGTGGGGTCACATCAGCACACACAGAGGTATACATGGCAGCTCTGTTCACCACCACCTGCCTGGTGCTTTGCCCCACCCAGGGATGTGGCCTGAGGTCCAGGAAGAGCTGCAGAAGCAAAGACTCCCTCTGACCCACTCCTTCTTTTATCTCTCACTCTTCCTCTCCCGCAATAGGCCATGGAGACCAGAGTCTCTCTTCCAAAGGTGAGTCACAGAAATTATAGCCTCTCTCCTCCAAAGCCAACCATTAAAACCATGAAATGTTACTCTAACCTCTCTTGACCTTTCTGTGTAGGAGCTGGTCAAAAGAATGTAGGTCACAAGGCTTGCATTCTAGAAAAGGTGCGGCCCTATACCTGAGAGGAAGGCTGGACACACAGGGACCAAGAAGAATCTGAACAGACAGGCCTTGTGGGGTCCTTGTCAGTCCATTACCATCAGGTTCCACCCTCTGTCCAGTCACACATCTACATGGCTTTCTATGCTTCACCAAACCTAAGCATAAGTGTGGACACTTCTCCCTGAGTCTTTGGATCTCTGTTTCTGAAGGATCCCTGGACAAGTAAAACACTGATGACCTAACTGTCATGCTTTTCTCTTGTTAGCCTGTCTTTTGTTGCAGTGGGAGGAAAGGGGTCACATTTTTCTGCCCCTACATGCCAAAATTTGGGAGCAACAAAGAGGTCTTTCAATAGATGAATGGGTAAACTGAGGTATACACAGACAAAGCAATATTATTCAGCCCTAAAAGAAAGCGCAGTGAAGAGCCATGAAGACATGGAGGAAGCGGAAATGCATATACTAGCTGAAAGAAGCCAGGCTGTAAGAATCCAAGGAATGACATTCTATAAAAGGCAAAAAGGCAAACAGTAGAGAAAGTGAAAGATCCCTGGCTGCCAGGGACTGGGGGAAGGGATGGACGAAAGGGTGGCTCAAGGTGGGGGGGGTCTTCAGGCAGTGACACTGTTCTGTATGACAAACTGAATGGTACGCAAGGACATTATGCAAGGGTGAGCCATTAGTAGTAATATATCAATACTATTTTGCAAGTTGTAACATTGGAACACACTAAGATATCAATACTATGGGAAACTGGAAGTAGGGGGTGGTCTGTGGGAATTCTATTTTCTGTGCAATTTTTCTGCCAACCTAAAATTGCTCCTTAAAATTAGTCTATTCTTTAAAGAGAAAAAAAAATCAGTTGTTGAGCCGAACCTCACATTTAATTGGGCATACTATATTTTATCTGGCAACCTCAGCCGCTGGCCTCAGGAAAGGGGCAAGCAAAGAATAATGGGATTTGTGTGTTGGGACAGATGGGAAGGAGGGAAAGAGCATCTCAGAGCTGCCACATACCCTGGGGGTGAGGCCTGAGCTCTGTGCTCAGAAATTCCAGGCATTGCATGGAGGATCTGGTTGGCAGTTGGTAAGTGGAGAAGCAAGACTGAGTATCCAAGAGGGTCTGGCCAAGGACGCCACCAGCACCCTCCTTGCCCATTCAATTTCTGGCCACATCTCTGAATGTATCGTACCTGTGGGTTACAACATGGTCACCCACAAAATCAGTGCTTTAGGAGAAGAAAATGTGAGCTCTGGATTCCTGATCCTGGAACCTCTGATTCTCAGGAGCTGAGGTCCCAGGCCACTTGCTACTGGGAAAATGCCTGTTTAGCCAGCACCCTCAAGGCCCCTCACCCTGCCTAGACCCTGCTAAAGAGAGCTGGACCCCCTTCATCCCACACAGTGCTGGTCACCTGCTTCTCCAGAGACAGGCCCTCCTTTGCTGTCATCACCTTCCCTCCTCCATCCAGGCATACAATCTGTGCTCCCCACCCCACCCCAAAACTGTCACAGCTAGTTCCTCACCTTCAAGAAGACCTTCAACCTAGACCAACCCAATTCAGTCATTTTCTTTCTTTCTCTCTCTCTCTCTCTCTCTCCCTCCCTCTCTCTCTCTCTCTTTCTGTTTTTTTGACACAGGGTCTCACCGTGTAGTCCAGGCTGGCCTTGAACTCATTATGAAGCCTAGCCTGGCCTCAAATTCACAATGATCCTTCTGCCTCAGTCTCCCAAGTGCTGGGATTACAAGGGTGTGCCGCCACTCCCAACTCGTCATTTTCATCGTTGAATAGGGCGGCGGGGGGGCTCTAGACTCTCCTCAGGAACCCCTAGGACAGAGCACTGCTCTCTTCACTGATGCCTCTGGTCTTAGCCAGTTCCAGACTCCCCCAGTGCCCAACACTGTCCCTACTTGAAGGCTTGGTTTCCCCACCCCAAGGGCAGCTAGAGACATTTCATCTTTCCAGGGGTTCCCTCACCACCACTGCTTGACATCCCCACCCATGCCACCCTAGCTCCAAAGTACATCGGAGGTACAGTGGGGTACAGAGCAAAATCAGCCAGCCTGGCAGGGAGATGGGCAGCTAAAGGGACTGAGAAATTAGGAAACCCAAGGAGCTGGGGGTCTTGGGGACAGGCAGGAGGGAGCATGACACCCCCTCCTGCAAGGGAGGGACTGGTCAATAACAGAAAATCAGGGACTTGGAGTGGGAGCAAAGAGATCCCCTGAGCTAGGGCTGTCCTGGCGTGGAGAGGGTGGGCCGACAGAGAGGCCGGGAGAAGCCAGGGGCCTCTAGAAGGAGGTGTGGCCGGGGGAGGAGGGGGTTGAAAGTGAGCCGGGCGGTGTTGAGCTGGCCTGCCGGAGCTTCTAGGGGAAGGGGGCCTAGGAGTCCGGGAGGGGGAACCTGCCCGGCCAGGTGGAGGAAAGGAGTCTAAGACCCCTGATTCCGGCTCAGCCCATTCATTATTTCCCCACCCCCACTGCCAGGCAGCTGGAAGGTGGCAGCACTGACCAGGCTGTGACCTTGAATTGTTGAGGAGAAGGGGAGAGACTGGGGGCCTGCGCCGCTGCGCTGGGGGTCGGGGTGGGGGATGGCAGAGAGCAGGACACACAACGAGAGTGGGAAAGTGCAGGCGCGGGCGTAAGGGGTCTAGGGGATTGCAGGGCTCCCGGAGGCCTCAGTGCGTGGGCGGAGTATTCGAGGCAGAGTGCGGATGGGGGTGGGGG